GGTCGAGATTTCAGAGGCCGAGCTGCATATCCCCGAAGGGAGGATTCCGTTGTTTGCACGCACGACAATGGCCTGCCTCTCGGTCGCCACTCGACGCCCCCCCTTTTGGATCCTCGGCACCGACTTGGAGCGGCGAGTTTGCCGTAAGCTCGCTCGAGGCCTTCTTCTTTCGACGAGAAAACCGAAAGAGAGATTGTACCTTCGAGGCTCCGCCAGACTTTCCATTCTCGCGAGATGCGTTGAAAGCTATGTAAATGTAAATTAGGTGGTCTCCTCATGGGCGCAGTTCCCTCTCCCCCCTCCCCTCCCTTTTCGTCACGCTCTATTGCCCATTCAGTCGAGGCTTCCCCCAAGATGTATTTAATCTCTGAACTTTTCCTCCGCTCTTCTTCTCCATCCACCCTATTTCGGTTTTCCGACCTTTATAATGATCGCAAGCCGTACAAAGGAAACCTTCTTCGAGAGATTCCTCTTTTTCTGTTTCTGATATTTCACTTCAAATGGCAGTAATTTAACATTAATTGACCGAGAAGATGGCGTAAGAAAATAATAGATCTATTTTTGTAGATCACTGTCTAAAACTTTCCATGTTTTATTCAGACGTAAAACGAGCGTAGACTCAATAATTAAAGAAAATATGAGATTAGATAATCGATGCGACTGAAATCTATGTGCGACTGTACCGGTTCGTTTCACCCCGAGCGTATGCCAATGGCATGCGAAAGGGTAATTTTACAAGCGCTCTGTACAATCCTCATCGCAAGAGTAACCCTTTCTACCGGCTTAAGTCTACAACTCCCGCTGTGTGTCCTCCCCTCCCTCCCATTCCCCTCGCTGCAGATTACTTAACCCTATGTTTCGCGCGTGATCGATGACTCTCGCCATCGGAATTGACAAGTGCTCGTCCGGTTGACACACGGCCGATCGGCGAGCACGTTATTAAACCACGGACGCAATCCTAATACCGGCAGAGTACACAATTTGCCGCGCGCAAATAGACCCTATAGATCAGTCTAGTGAATCACCGACTATATTGCCGATAATAATGCGATCGCAAATTAAGCTGACTTTCATTCAGCGGCTCTGGATCCGGCAATTATATCCGATTCGTGGCACGTTCATTAATGTAATCGGTAATAAACGTACATTTATCTGCTATTTGTGTCGCGCAAAAATATTTCCCCGATAAATGTAGAGCGTGGAATAACACACCGAGGTTGTGTTGCAAAGTCGAATTTCAAACATCCTCGAATTACTACAATTTATTGCGACCCATAGTAACAATGCGGATTAGCATTGTCAAATTGAGAGAACCAAATTTTTATTTCATAATTTAGCATCGAAAATTCGATTATATGACTGATACAAACATTAAGTAACGACGATATCATTTAAATTCGAAAAAGAGATATATCAATTAAAAAACTAGCAGTTTGATTGTCGGCATGTAATAATTATAAATAATTGCACTCGGTTAGTGATAATAACAGTGAATGGCGAGTGTGAAATAAATTGGCGTATATTGCAAACATTATTTGTGTTCGCATGTCAAATATACCCATAGTTTCTTGTACAGGATATTCTCTTCGACATGAAACGTACAAGCTTTTAAATGCAGAATGCGAGGGATAATAATTCATATGACTAGTGATAATTACGAGACATTCATAAATGAGCGTGTTTACAATGAGTACGATATTATATTGTTAGATTCTGGTGATTTTATTAATTTAATTTGAATTTATCAGCAGAATAGACACTTCAGAAAAATTCACATCTTTAATTGTTGACTTTATTCTGTAATTTATTTTCGGCAATTTAGTTTTTCATAAAATTACTCTATTCTAAATTATCTGCAAACATTATTTTTTCTACGTTATCTATGCAACACTTAAATCTTGTAATTTAATAACTACTAACAAATCCAATGGTTACCTTATCATAAATTATTTTAATTATTGCGCGGAAATTGCTTTGTTACAATTTGCGATTCATATTGTAAATAAATAAAAGATTTAAAATCTGTAATATTTGCGCAAAAATTTCAAATTATATAATAATTCATATTTTATTTATTTATGTGCGAATGTGTATGTGTCATGTTGCTATATAATCATACACATTATTTAATAAAAATATCATTAAATAATGTATTACTAAATAATCAATATCATTGATTATATCAAACCGCAAAATTAGCAAAATTAAACTACAGTTTTAAGAAATCCACATTTGTTCCACAATTTAGAAAAATTCATTTTCCATTTAATCCATTCAATTTGTAAAAGAATATTATTTATCTTCAGAATCTATCTTTAAAATTTATAATACAAAGCACAAGAGGACAATTTAAAAATTTATAATTACAATTTTAATAATTTCATAATTTTCATACCGATTTCTGATATCTTTATGCTATGCAATAATTCATCCATAATTCACATATTCCTATTTATTCACTGCATCGGTTGACAATGTTGTCAATGTAGATTGTAGACGAAAGCGACAATAATTGCAATTATTCTACTGTCTGTTACATAAGATTATTTTTGAAAATTGCTAGCGATTATTTTAAGATTATTTTTCAAAATCGTTATTATAAATTAACTTTTTATAAAAATTTATAAATATACATAATGTAAAAAATATCATCAGTCATTAATATCTCTTATAGATTTTATATCTTTTATAGATATCTCTTATAAATATCTCTCTTATTATATCTCTTAGATTTCATCTTAGATCTCTTATAGATTTCATAAATGTAGAGAATATTATATATTCTAATATTATCTAATATTCTAATATTAACATAATTGCAAGTGAAATGAGAATATGAGGAGAAAGCTCATATTTCCAAAACTCGAACATTCATAATCAGACGCAACACACGTATATAGAGAGTTCTAATTATTTCCGTCTATTTGATTCGCAGAAATTGTATTATTTTTGTCTTATATTTATTGGATATACTCTATATTCATATATAAATGAATATATATCCTTTTATATATATAAAAAACGAGGAAAAAAATGATAGAAAAGTTAACGAGAAAAGATAATTAAATGTGGATCATATTACTTGCAGTAATTAATAGGAAAAATAGAGAAAAATATAGAAAAATATAGAAAAATATAGAAAAATATAGAAAAATACAATTATTAAATGATCTACGATAAATTTGACAATTCGTTACAAATTTTAAAGTGAAAAAAAGAAGAAGAAAATACTGGATCTGCGAATCAAAAATATAAGAGTATCACGTAACGTTCAACCCATCACACAATACAAATCTCAATAAAAGTTGTTTATACGCGGAATGTAATTTAACGGTAAAACTTTTTTTCTCTCACTCTTCCATTCTAAATTTTCCACGGTATACAAAATTACGATTTTCGCTACTAGGTAAGCATATAAACCGATGCAAGCTGCATGTTTCACGCTATGCTTGTTAACACACAAATAAAACATTCGTATTTATTTAGTTTCCAAATAAAACGCGGATATTGGAAAACGCTATAGGTTTGTATAACAAATTGCTCTTTCAACAATACAATAACGTCTTGCATTCATTTATCCAATTTTGTTAATCAGCGCCAATTTTTCATACATGATATTTTATCTCGCAAATATAAATAAAATAAAAAGACTATTAATCGCTATGTAACAATCGAAAAAATTAATTTATATTAAGTCTGTTCGTCGAATAAATAGTGGCAAACGAAATATCATGTGATAGTCAATTTCAATCTAAAATTTCGGCGAAAATTTTCGGGTCAACTATATACGACTCTTCTACTTTTTCTACAACTTTTCTAAAAAAGTTAACGCCGGATGAAACAATCGATACGCTCCATTCCCGTCTTTTTTATTATCTCGGCGCACCAGAATGCGACTGTTTGTTTTGGGTTTCTTTCGCGTTGATCGCGGGGGTGCAACAAGTGTTACGTTGCTCGTGTCTCGAGGCAAACGAGCGAGATACCGCGTCGCAAATCTACGAATAAATTTCCTGCCGACCGCGTTGCTGCTGCTCGAATTGATATCTACGGTGTGTATTTCAGGATTAACCACTTGGCTGCGTCATTTTTGTTTTGCGTCAAGCTACGCTTAAGCCGGTTTACAAATGATTCGACATAAAATTTAAAAAAAAAAAGGAAAAGAGAAACGCTCGCGCACAAACACACACACACATACACGTACACCGCGTGGATAACCGCTTTATTAAAAGTACCCGCCATCTCGGGAAACGACGTTATTTGACATTTACCCGAGCTTTTATAAGCTGCCATTTGACTTTCGCCGCGGTTAAATTACGGTCCCTTTATCATTGCTACCCCGATTCATAAATTGCGAGAGAACGGAGTTAATGACATTTAAAAGAGAACATTTTCATTCTTGGTAACATGTGTAATATTACGGATAATGTGATTCCAGACTCTTCATTTTTCTCGCACCTTTAAAGGTGCGTCACAAGGAATCTAAGGATAGATTTTCTCTTTTCAGTAACGTTCGGAGTAAAATTTAAAATTTTGCGAAAGTTACATTAACGTTATATTATACGGTATTACAAAGTTTAATAAAAAAAGGAGAAAAAAACAGGCAAGAGAAATATGGCAGTGGATGCAGATAGCGCTCCCGATAAATTGAGAATCAAGATACGTACTGGCAAGTACGCGAGATAATAGGAAAAATGCATTTTCACATTAAATGTACTTTCCTACCGCAGATGTGCAACAGTATAAATCACATTCCCCATGACGTTTCTCGAACAGCATCGATTGGGCCTTTTAGTCCGTCGCAATATAAAACTATCTCCGTAAATCAAGCGCGCGTCGTCCAACCCTCCCACGAGTTCGCTCGATATCACGCTCGCGACATTTGCATCGTTAGCACGAGCGGGCAAAAAAAAAAAAAGAAAAAGAGAATAAAAAAGGAAAAAAAAGAATTCCTCCCCTCAAGTGGCACGTACTCGACGAACGCAATTTTCTTTTGTTTCCAGGCAGACTTATCCTGCAGAAACACGAAGCAGACCGTGGGCGCGATTTACACGCGCACCAACTTCGTGACGTTGAAATACGTCACCGACGCCTGGGGCACCAACGCGAATGGCTTCCGCCTCGTCATCACGGCCGTCAAGGATCCGAGTGAGTATTTGTCGATGTGAGCCGTTAACTTATTTCTAAATCAATTGACCTGCTGACACCTAGACATGCAGATTAATATGCGACGCATCAAGCAATTTTTCATGATTCTGAGAATACGAGAAATTCTATTGGATTTCTGCTTTATACTGTTTTAATAATGTGCATTCTCTGACACTGTAATATCAAACATTAACCCACTCGAAATTATTAATCTGTATGAAAATCGATATATCAACTCCAAAAAATTGCGATTACATTTTTCATGGCGAAATATATAAGGGAATAAAGGGAAATATAAAAGTTCCAATGTTCAATCTGATAAAGTAATTCTTTCTTTTTCATTTTCAACGCAGTTGAAACTAATCACTGTGAGATTTATCCACAGGAGGAATACGTTCTTGATATTTGAAAAACATATTTCCGTGGTAGAAATCGTATTCGTCCTCGAAAATAGAAACGTCGAGGTCTTTTCGCTACTCCCATTATTTTTCCTCGCGGTCGCTTTTGTTTCAGCGATTCTTTAAAATCCGCCTTTCAAATTGTATCACGGTTGTCACGATCGACTCGAGATCTAAGTTTATCGTTCAATCGCTTTTATTCATTAGCCCTCAAGCTATTAAATTTGCCTTTCAAATCCAGCTTCTTTAAAGCGCCATGTCAATTCCTCCTCGTGTTCGCAATCGTATTCTCTCCGGTGACGTTTATTGCACGATTTCAAAAGTGCAGTCGCTTAACCGCACGATGAACCCCAGTTAACATTGTAATATTCTATTCGCGCGATGTTATTCGTACCACCGAATCCGAAATTACAATTGAATTAGTCATCTGTAAAACATTACGACTACGCACGTATTTTACCAAAATACCGAGAGCATTTATCTCAAACATTCACAAGCTATAATATATAGCTTTGTTTTCTCTTTGATGTATTAATTTTCCAAAATATAAGCATTTTGCAAATTGTAATTATCGAATATTAAAATTGTTTGGATAGTTATTTTTCAATCATATGCTCGAGAATAACAAGAAAATTATGTTATAATAAAGATATATTTGCTCACTTTTTCCAGTAACAAAAACAATAACATATTTTTTACTTAAAAAAAAAAGAAGAGAGAAAAAATCCTTTTCTGTTTCTCTCAAATCTGACCATCTGTCACTAATGCGATTTTGCAAGCCAATTCGATTGAAAGTTTATTATACGTACAAAAAATCGCGAAAAAAAATAATCTCTGTGGCTTTGTCACAGAGTCAGCTTTGTAAAATCCGCGCAAGACAAACAACGTGCGTTAATTGGCTAGTTTAACGAGCTATTTTTAGGTTTTATGCGAACTCGGCGAAACACGCGCGTTCCGAGACCGTTTTACATTTTGCAACGTGGCTTCGGGACACGAGTAAAAAGTTGACGGGTAAATATTGAACAAAATTTGTAATTGAAATAGGTGGCGATGCGGTAAGTGACGTCGTTATTGACGTGTCGACGTTGATTCGAATTTTTAATTTAGCGAGCGAACGCTCGCGGGTCGATTCACCGATCATTGTTGGCGAGATTTTCTGCGACAACAATGAAAACAGCGCTTTAAAAAAGAATCTCGATTAGTTCTGAAAGATAAGCTAAGGACAATATATATCCAAGATATCGCTGAAAAAAAGAGAAGGAGAAAAAGAGAAAGAGAGAGCGAGAAATGAGGATATTTTAACAAAATGTCTATTCATATATCATGTAAAAAAATCTCCGAAAAAAATTCTCTGAAAATTTCCTGATTTTGCAGGTATTTTTGTTCAAAAAATTCCAGATAAGAGAATATTTCAAGATTTTTAATTTAATATTTTAAAATATTTTAAAATATTTAAAAACATTTTTATGTGTAATGCAACTTTCTAAAATAAATTTTCTCGTTATATGCAATCTAATATTTTTCATTCATACAAAGCATACAAAACCATTCAAGCTTCAAACTAGATTTATAAATATATATGAAAAAACTGAATAGCTTTCATAATGATAAATATTTTTTACATTTTAATTTTTTTATCACTAAAAAATTACAATAAAAAAATATTGCATGTATAATATCGATATTTTTTTTAAGATATTAAATATATAAACACAGAGATAAATATATATTTATAACATATTTTAAACACATAATTTATTTTGCTTTGCCAACTGTTTGCAACATGAGAGCAAAATTATTACAGGGAAAATTACAAAAAAAATTCTTCGAATTCTAATAAAATTCCACGAGAATTCTAATAAAATTCCTTGATCTCTCCAGGTACAAAGGAAATTCCTGAAAAATCCAGATTATCCATATTTTTCATGAAATAGACATTCCGTTTAATAATACAACGACATATATTCGTATTATTGCGTTTAATCGATTTACTATATCAACAACATGTGCAGCACTGCCTGTATAAATACTGCTGCTTTTATATTAGATTTCATATTTACATCGGTGCGACACGCGAGAATCATAGATGCCGATCACGATTCAAGCATCCATGGCATCCGGCGTGTTAATAAAGCGCGGTCTCTCGGTCGTTTGCACGTCCAACAATTTTTCATTTTACGAAGAGAGAGACACAAGGCGCGAAAATCGCGTCGGCTCGCAACTCGGCGATAAATGCGCCGTTCTCGTCGACGATTTTGTCAAACGGAGGACCTTCTCGAAGCCGACAAAAGACCGTTAATAATACGGGGAACATTGAAATGAGGTGCTCCGACATCTAATACCGGAGGAAAAAGCGCACCGCATCGCTCTCCATCGCGAATCTTTATCTCCCCTCCTGCTCCGCTCTTGCCCCCGCCCCTACCCCGTCCGCGAGCGTAATATTTCCACGTAATAAGGTGCCTGAGAAATGAGCGTCGGCGACAAATGCAACCGTTATATACATATTTTTATATCTTTTTTTATATCACACCGGAATATTTTGAGAATACGCATAAATGTCAAAGTGCTATCTTACGCTTTCCTAATTACAGAAAAAAAATATTTCGCGCTGAAATACGACTTTAATACACAGATATTGTATCGCATCATACGTATGCGCTACTTGCATGTTACGACATTCATTTTATCGTTATCGTTACATTCTTGGTTGCTACATGTATTACGTATAAATGCAAACAAGATATTATGAATATGGGCACATTTTTGTGCTCCCTGTAGATTTTTGTTAAAAAATTTATTCTTTCATATTTGGCGTACACTGCTGATGGCAGTATATTCGTTGAATTTTGCTTCATAATGTTATGATTATTTAATTTAATAATTATTAAATAAGAGCTATTTTTGTCGACTAATTAAGTTCGATTAAGTGAGATAATAAAGGATGATATTTTTTACAATATAATATTTTCGCGCAAATATCATGAAACAACGCGCGTGCGATAATGTAATAGCGAATAACAGAGCGAGCATTAATCTTAAGTACTATGACTTTGCCGACTCACATTCGAGATCCACATTCAAGACGACTTGAGAGTCTCGGCAAAGTAGCTATCCAGTCCCGGGACTCGACAGGTGTCGAACTTTAGCTCTCCTCTGCCAAACAATTTCCTCAAGTTGTAATCTTCCGCCGGTTATAAGGAGCACTTGAAGGATAATCCGAGAGAGTTAATATAAGTTAGTTCGGGAACTGAATGCGCAGGACGAAATCTCAGTCGCGTGCTCGATCATTGTTGTTCCTCGACGGTTATTCTATCGGCATCGCGCGGGACGATGTATCCATCCCCGAAAGGATTGTTTGCCAACTGTCTTTACTGTGTTTGCCGAAGCAACTTTCGCAATTTCCGTAACGCGCACTGTCTTGCAATTTTTTTCCCTCGACGAGTTATAGCGGTAAATGCTTTCGCGAAAGCAGCCAGGTGTCTTCCTCCCATGAGAAGCGAGAACAGTCACCTTGTACAAAATGCAAACGACTCTTGTTGTCCCGTACTTTTCATCTTTGCGAATGCACCGAATGACCCGGGGACATCATCTCGATCGCATCGTCGGAATTTTTAACAAATAAACGATCGCATCGCGGAATTTATGGACCGTCCCCTAAATAACGAGATCGTGAATAAACGCGTTTTCGACGAGAAATTCTCTGGAGAAAATCCCATCGAGAATCATCGGATCGAATCGAAATAGCTGTCGCAATTGGCATCAACGTCAAATCAATCGATCTCGACAGCCGTTGTCGCAGGAATCTCGCATAGCTAAACAGGTGCTCATTATCGAGCGCAAATTCGGTTCGGCGACATCACGCGCTCGGTAGCTAACGGTTACACCAATTTACGGTAATTATGCAGAATGCGAACCGCGCTATCGCGTCCTTTCTCCCTCGTCCTTACGCGCCTCGTCCCTTTTAACGCACCGACGCATCCCCCTCCTCCCCCTCCACCCCGCCACAGAAGCGATCCGCCGACGCGCGAGGACGTTCGCAGCCGACAACGGTAATTATTGCACGGTCGCGATGTGCTCTTGCCTTTTTGCGCGACGCTAATTACCTCGCGTGATTAATTGATAGGCGACGGGGGCTGATGCTGGCTCAAAGGGGCGCGCGGGGGGAGGGGTGTTGCCTTCTCCTTCGTCGCTCGTCGAGAGGAAAGAGAGGGCCTTCGGATGCGAACTGACAGAAAAATACATTTTATAGGCGCGCTTTCCTCGGCTTCGCGATATAAAAAACGCGACATTTCGACGTGACGTTACACGGCGCTTTTATTCCCGCGGATTTATGTCTCGTTCAGACGCGCGATGCGTCCCCGTTTATCTCAATTTTTTCGCAGAATTACTTCTCTCGCGTCCCGACATATTCTATCATCGACGCGGTGGCGTAGAATTTCCAATGTGCCGCCTCTTTTCCACAAGTATTGCACGCAAAATACCAAAAATCCGCGTCAAAATTCCTAATTAGGTTAATTATATTTTCACGCGACTAGGTGCGAATGTAACATTTTTTGCAAGTACAGTTATTTGAATAGACAACGTTTGTGACAATATTTCCCT